GCAGGGTACCAGGCTTGAATGTTACATTGACACCTCTTTGTATAGTCTGTAAAATTGCAGCCTAGTTTACTCCTAACAGTGCATTTAAAACATGATTGCATTATTGTTTTGATGTCAAACAAACATTTTGCAGATGAAAAGGACTGAACCAAGCTTTAAAATCTGAAGGCAGAATAACAATAATTAATGCTTCTATTACTCTGTTTAAACAGTATTTATATTAAGCAGAAGACAGGTAATTAATCCCACTTGAAAGAATATATACTCCTCATCACTCATTTATGAATTCTTCTGTCTTTGAATAAAAGTGCTATCTCAAAGTTAAAATACCTTGACTACAATCACAAGCAAGGTCCTCTAATTCTTTTAGAAGCAATTTCTTATATTTTTATTATTTGTTATTTTTTTAAATTAAAGTTTACAGGATCAGACCTAAAAAGTAGCATTATCTGGTTGAGCACTGAACTGTCATTTATACAATTGGGTGACGGTTTTTCTATTGTCAGCCATTACAAGAAAATTTTATTTTGAATTCAAATGGTGAACCAGGCTGTGATATTTTTCCAGTATATCAATAAAATTCACAATATATTTATTGATTATTCATAAAAATATATGTTCATATTAGTTAAAAGTAACAGATTATTCCTGTTAAGTGACTGTAATGTGTCTTAAATATTTTGTAGTTTCAAATTTGATTTAGTGGACATCATTTCATTGTACTTGTTGCTAGATTATTGTTATACAGAATTTTAATAGATGAATATTAACCCAATAAATGTCACATTACAGGTATCCTGTTTTCATAATGCATGGAATGTTTTGACAGGCTGTAATAAGCTACGTATTTGGACTTTTTAAATTTATTTTTTCTTGCAGATGTGGCTGCAGCACAATTTAAACAAGGGTTTTTCTTGTGAATCATTAATGTTTTAAGGTATTTCTTTTACCTCCCAGAGAAACTATATCTGGGGATTAACAAGATTGTTCACTGGAATTCATGTGGAAGCATAACTGCAGTAGCTGAGAAACGATCATGTTTCCTTTTAGTTCTCAGCAAGAGTAATTGAATGTTGAATATCTTACTAAACGCTGGACTGTGACAGTGTGTTAACACTCCGACTATCTCCTAACAGCAGGGCAATTATTTGCTGAGTGGGATTTTTATAAATCCCCTGGCAGTAGTATGTCCTGATAATTATGATGAAGTGCACTGGTCAGTGTTGATTCAGCAATCCCTTCTCTAGCAAATATTTCATTCACAGCTCTCCTTCATGCTTTTACTTTTATGGCTTTTAGAGATCTCTTACCTCTTCTCTCAGCTTGCTTAGTTTTTTACAAATTACAGTGGAGAAAAAAAGGATTTTTGAGTTCAGTCCCTATCTTGCTGAAGTCTTTACTCCTTACATGCGTTTTGAAGAAGGATTTAAGACATTATTAAGAGAGCAGTGTTAGAAAGTAGAGCCTCATTCTTGGTCTTATTGCGACAATTTCTTGCAAAGACCACTTCCGTCTAAGGTATTGTTTTCAAAATTAATTGACTGTTAATAGAAGCATTTATATTCACTATATATTATTTTAGAATTTTGGAGTTGATATGAAAAGGAAATTAAAACTTATCTTTATTATAGTTCTGTTTAATTACAGCAAATTGTATTTTTAATGTGTGAGGATACAATTTCTATTGACTTCATACTTGCAGTTTCTCTTCAACTCATCCTGTTGATTTTTAATTTTGCATGCATGTAATAATTCACAAAGCAATCTACTAGGGCATTTCTTATTTGGAATAGTGGGTGTAGGTTTAATTACTTAAAGTCAAGGAATAAGATATGTTTTAATTCATAAGTAAAATTGCAACATGATTGTTCCCATTTTATTATACCACTCATGATCACTGATCTTTTCTGAGGAAATATCTAACATAATCAACACTGTTGTGTCTTTTCCTTTCTACTTGTGCCTTCTCTTTTTCTCCACTTTCCTCCTCACACTTTGTTTCTTTTGCTGCATAGTTTTATTTTCAAGGCAAGCTTCTAAATAATTTATTTGTTAAATTCTGGGAAAAGATATCAATTACATTTTTCTCTGTTTCTGGAAATAAAAAGGAGATAGAGACAAAAAAAAAAAAAAAAAAAAAAAAAAAAAAAGCCATTCTGCAGCATACATTAAGTTTACAATTAGAGGTGGAAGTGATACAGAATATTTTAAAAACATACACATTAAATTTTTTTTTTCTTATTTATTTATTTATTTATTTATTTTTAGTATGCCATCATTAATTACAAATGTAAGAAAATATTTGGGAGAAACTAGATGATAGAGTGTTAGAAATGCAAAATCATTCAAAATATTAATGTAACGCTAAGGATGACTGGGTAACAAATGGTACATTTGCCAGTATGCTTGACCTGACACAATTAATATTCCAGGTCATGCTTGGGTTTCCATGATGGAAGGTCTGAGGCCGAAAATTCTAGGGGAAAAATATATCTATTCTATAACTCATTTCTCTCCTTCCTTTTTCTTTTTTTCTTTTTTCTTTTTTCTTTTTTTTTTTTTTTTCTCCTCTGACGGGTGAGAACCATAGTCTTATAAAAATAAATAAAAAAATAAATCTGTGCTTTCACACCTCATTTGCCATATTCACCACTGGGCCACCATTCAGCAGAAGAGGCTGATGCAAGGAGGTCAGCAAGAAGCTATTAGCAGAGTCGCCTCCTGAGATTACCTTGGTCTTATTGAGTTGGAAGTTAGCATGACAGTACTGCAAATAACTCAGCTGCAGGTTTTTTAAAAGTAGCATAGATTTCCCCATAGTGTTTGTCACTTTGGAAAATTGTTCCTGGAAATGAAGTCCCAGAAATCAGGCTTTGACAGAGGACTTTCTGAGTTGTGAAGAACATGAGTACAGAAAAATGTCATACTCCCTACAGAAGAGATACTTTCTGTAACCTATCATAATATTTGGGAGGGTGAAATATAATCTTGTGAACTAAAGGTGGAGAAAATATTGAAATCAAAGTATGAATTAGTATTTCATGATTTTTTTTATATTAAAAGAGCGGTCCTAACTACGGTAGTTTTGTAGTAGAGAGGATATTATATTAAAGCAGGGAAACGATGAAGTTAAAGCTTTTAACTTATAGTAATTGTTTCAAGAAGATTTGAAAATCTATTAAATGCCAAGGGCTTTGATCATTCAGATTCTTACATTTCTGCATACTGCCATCTCTCCGCAGAGGGTAGAGTGAATAAGGCATTCATCAGTACACAGCACATACACAATGAATTGCAAAAATGACTCTGATTTGCAGAGATATTTTAAAATTAATGGAAGCAATTTTAGCAGAGATTGATCTGAACTGGAAAATAGAATCAAACTCATCCCCTACCAAACTTTCCTAATTTTAAATCTAGGCTTAAAACCTACCCACAAACCTTGGGGACTTTAGAGTAAATTAGTATTAATTTTATCTATCCAGATACGAACTCTACTGATTGCTCTGCTATCTGTCTGTTTGAATACTTGAACACATATAATTAAAATGTAAAGTAATTAACAGGATTGCTTGAAAAATCATTAGTTAAAATGCACTTCATAATTAATTTCGACCCAGATCTTAAGTAGAGTTTCAACAGTAGAAGGCGCAACTTGTGTCTTGTAAAGTGTCCAGCTGGCTTCACAAATGTGCCTCACTAAAAATCCAAATCTGTTTTCATATTTGTTATACCATTTGTATTTTTAACCTGATAATATGTGAAAACAGAGCAATGAAACATTACTCTTACTTACGGCAACTTTTCAGCAATAGTAATCCAAATGACACTGAATCACTGGAATCAGCGGGTTCCAAAACCTATTATGGCTAATTTGGGTGTCATTAAAAGTGCTAAAAGTCAATCCAATTTGTGCACCTTGAGACAGCTGCATTTCACTGTTTGAACACTGTATGAAATACGCATTACTGCCAAACGTTTGAACAAAGAAATGTCAAGAACATGCATAGTATCACAATATAGATTACAAAATGCAGTTTCAGAAGATGATTAAACTCATATGGCTATTAATACCTCTCTAAATATGAACTATAGAAGCAGTGCCATTTCTTACAGCCCAGAATAGCACATGGACTTTTATTTTGCAGTCACTCATAATCACACAGACTAATCCTGCTTGCCAGGTATTTGAAGCATGGATCTCTGTAATTTAGTTTGATATGCTGATGAGCTGAAGGAACAACCAGTAGTTGTTTGGAATGAGTATGTTTCTGCCACTAATTCATGTCCTTTTTACCATCACACAGTTACACTGATAATATAACAATATAGTTTACACAAAGAAGAGAATGTATAACATGGACAAAAATATATTGTCGGGTCCAGAACACTTACAGAATTTGAGCTTATGGCCCTTAGAATTTGCTAAAAATATTTTGAATAAGCTACCATCTTTGTTTTTGTACATTAAGTAAGGTTGAAATGAGCCTTATTTAACTTTTTTGAGACAAGAAATTGTGATTTCCCAGTAGGATATGCTAATGAAAAATGCAGTAGAGCTAATTGGGGATTGTCCTTTTAGCTCAAAGATGTTTGCACGTTAGGAGGAGGTTGGAGAAAAGCAAGGTCAGGAACATATACTTTCTTACTTATCTTTCCCTGCATCTCTAAAATGATGTCTTTCTTATTCTGTTTATTCAGTACTTCTTAGCAAATAAATACAATAAAAGAAGAACAAACAAACAAACAAAAAAAACCAACTAAGCTTTAAAACTACCTTAAGAGCATTAGGAACATTGCAAGTATTCTATTGTACATAGGGTACAATTTCAGGTACATGAACATCATCTGCGTAATTCTTGCTTGCTTCCATAAAATGAAAGTTACATGCATTGAAAGAGCTGAAACACAGATAATACATTATGTTATCCTATTTAAACATTTTGTTGAAGTGAACTGTAAGTTAGTTGAAGTCAAAAGTAACCTCATCTTCTGTTCAGATTGCAGGCATATACAATTCACCATTCAGAAAATCCCCAGATCCGATGGAACTACTGCTCCGGCAGTCGAAGCCATTGAGCCACAAGCAGCAGCGAGTGAAGAGTCCCTTCACATATGATCTCTATGACTGGCCAACTTGTAAAAGACCTCCAACTTTCCCCACAGGAGAGGCCCTGCCACCCATTGGCAGACAGAAACCTCAGGTAACATTTTTCAGTATCAAATCTGTCTTAAAGAAAAGTACATGTTATGTAAAAACAAGGAAATGTGATTCTCTAGTCTTTGCTTTGGAGAAAAATGTCATTTCTGAGAGTCAAAGAGATCTGATATAACTGAGTATCATCTTGATTCATCAGATGTAAAATTTTTAGATTCCAAACAGTTATGGTAAATTAAGGATAATAGGACAAATTTGCAGTTGAAATAACTGCTAACTTTTTTTGACATTATTTTCCATGTGGAGGCTAAAAGTTACTCTCTCAGTATGGAGTAGTTCCTGCTCTTTTGTGTCCACTAGCTGTGTGTCACCTTTAATTACGAAAGTTTCTACACATTGTTCTGCATCAGTCATCATGTTGCTCTGCTCCCTTCCTTAACTGTCATGGTCTCAATTTCATTTTCTGTTCGTGTCAACATGTGTCGCAGATTTTTCTTTTTTCCCTCTCCTTTAAGTAATGGAGATCTCCAAGATAATGCATCAGAGTAAACGTATAATGGCAAAATGGCAAAACAGTTTTTACAACCTTAGCTAAACCTGCTGGAAATATGTCCAATATACACAGTAGATAGACCTTTGAGACCTTTATGTGCTTCACTTGATGACAAGTGGATATTTTTTCAAACATACAGCTTTTGCCAATACATGCCTGATACAGTTACTTTTGAGACAGTGGATTTTGTCCTCCATTCTGAAGAATGTTTCAGTTTGCCCAGTCAGCTGACTTTCTTTTTTATGTGTCTCACACATAAACTTTATTGCCAACTTCATTTTGAAGGACTGTAATATCTTCAGAACATCTCGTGCATGTTTTGGATGATAGAATCCAAGTTGGAACAGACTCACAAGGACTACTGAGTCCATCTCGTGGCTCCACACAGCACCACCTGAAATCCAAACCCTGTGTCTGAGAATGCTATCCAGCACTCCTTAAACTCCAGAACTGGGGCTGTGCCCACTATCCTGGGCAGCCTGTTACATGCGCACTGCCCTCTGGGGCAGAGTCCTGCCCCTGTCTGGGGCTGCCATTCCTCTGACACAGCTTCATGCTGTTCCCTCAGGCCTTGTCTCTGTCACAGCAGATCTCAGCTCTGTCCCTCTGCTCCCTGTGAGGAGCTGCAGCTGCCATGAGGCCTCCCCTCAGCTCCTCTGCTCTGAGATGAACAAACCTCACATATCTTGCACTCTGGATTCTTCACCATCTTCATAGCCCCCCTTTGGATCCTCTCTAATAGTTTTATGTCTTTCTTGTATCATGGCACTCAGGCCTGCACCTAGTGATAGAGGTGAGGCTGCACAATGCAAAGCAGAGCAGGACAATCCTTCCCCTCACCTGACAGCAGTGCTGGATCTGGAGCACCCTAGGAGTACAGTTGGCCCTTTGGACTTCAGTTCTCACTGCTGGCTCAGGTTCAACTTGCTGTCAACCAGAATCCTCAGCTATCCTTCTGTGGGATTACTTTCCAGCCTTTTATCCCCAAGTCTATACACATATGTAAATCTGCCCCATCCCAGGTGTAGAATCTGGCACTTGCTTTATTCTGTTAGTGGTTGCCCAGCTCTCCAATTTGATCTCTTTGCACAACCTCTCTACCCTCAAGGAATTCAACAACTCCTCTCAGTTTAGTGTCATCCACAAACTTAGAATGAATTTAAGTTCTGCAACCAAGTAATTGATGAAAGCATTAAAAAGAACTGGCCCTAAAATGGAGTCTTCAGAACCTCATGTTTTTTTCAGAAGGACAATGATTCTAAATAAGACTTTATCAGTAACTTTCACTGAAGCTATCATTTAGTGGAAGAAATTAAGTAACAGCAATGAGCAATTATCAATATATAATACACCTTCGTTGATATTTAACTCCTCTGAACTGATATGGCTATTTCCAAATACAGTCTTAAGTTTGAGCTACTGCTAGGTTCAAGCTTAGTTTAGACATGCCATCTGTCACAATTTACATGTGGTATATTGGTTGAATTTGCCATGATCGCACAGGCCAACACACACTCAAGAGGTTTTTCTCACCTTTGTATCACATCTGACTTGTCCATAAGAGGACAAGTCAGTATCTGTGATGGGATGTGAAAGCAGAGGTAATTGGGTTAGAGCACAAGGAACAGATGCAGATCTGCCAGAAATAGAGGTGAGTCCCACAGAGGTCCGCACTGCTTGTAATAATAAGGATCAACTTCGAATAAATTCTCCACCTTTGTTCTTCCCTCCATTCATCCCCACACTTTAGCTGTTTAAGCTTCTTTGTATAATGAGCTCATTGACTCACGTTAGACCCAAGTCAAAGCGTGACCCAACTGTTAGTGATCAGGGAGTTTGAAATTGACTGTGTATTGAAAACCAGATATATATGACATTACAGCCTTATCTTCTGGGACCAAAGGGGCTATGACTATGACTATCCTGCTTGAGTGGGATGTGACTAAATGCATGGTCTCTCAGAGCAGAAAGAAAGATTTTGTGTGGGTAGTAATGACACGGGAGTCATACTTTTTAAATAGAGAGAAATCATAGTTTTTACATTGCTAAGTTGCTTTTGCAAAACCACTTTACTGTATGTATCTTACAAGCTTCAGTTTGGGTGTGGAATATTTTATAGATGTTTCTAAGTTCAGATGTGCACAGCAGTAGTGCACAGACAGCCTTCCAGAACAAACCAGAAGTCCTGTTTATTTTCTGCACCTCAAAGAGGGAATTTACTATATAATACTTTAATCCTTTCAGCACCCTGGGATGTACACTGTGGGGCAAATTTTCAAAGCACAGTGCGTGGATTTAGCTGTGCGACTCTTATTGATGTTAATGGGAGTCACACGGCTAAATCCCTGCACAACACTTTGACAATTTAGGGTTGTATTGTCTAAGGAAAGGACGCTGTTTTGAGCTGATGAAACAGCTGGAAATGAAAACCCATCAGAATGCATCATCCTGAAAGTTGTCCAGTGTTACAGTAAGGAATTTAATTACTAGCTATACTTGTGTCCTAGTTCTCTGTGATAACACCTTCTGGCACCGTGCTTCTTTTTCCTGTACATATGCATGTCACATCCAGGGTGAGCCACTTGTTACTCCACTGTTCTATGTCTAATGTCTAGCAATTGTGTTGCTGATAGGGTTGGATGTATTATATAAGAATTATATGTGCTTGAAAGAACAAAACTTAGATATCTACTAGCATTCTCTTGCAGTAATTGATATTTAGCATTTTATGTGTAAGCTCTCTGATAGTGTATTTTAGCATTTTAATGATGCTTGTATGTTAGTTAAAACATCTAACATTTTTGTTACTAAGTTAACTAGTAAGTTAACTAAGTTTACAGCTTGATGGAAGCTCAGATAATTCTAAAATTAGTCCAGTGCTCATTCAGAGGCATTTATAACAGAAAGCACGTTCCCATTTGTAGGGCACTTTTTTCCCTTTTTCCTTTTTTTCATGCTGGTGACTGTCCTGGCATGGAGACAATAAAGAACATAAGAGTTTGTGTAGATTTTATCACAAGTTTTTGACTTTATCATAAAGTAGTAGGAATGCCTATCTGCTGTAGACAAATCTGTAGCAATAATATTTATGCTATTCAGTAGAGATTCAAAAACATAACATACGGTGTAAGTGTTTTTCAGGGTGAAAATTGCTGGTTCCCTTTTGAAGCAGAATGGCTGAAATGCTTGTAGGCATTGCAGATGTGAAAATATTTTTAAGCAACATTTTTTTCACAGATTACAACAAATTTTGAAGTTCATCTTGTGAAATGGAATAGGCAAATGGATTTTTTAGGGGTCTTGTCATCTTAAATAATACATTAGTTGCTTATTGCTAAAAAAGTTTCTACAAATACGTGACTCAGAGAAATGGAAAAATTTAAAGGGAAAGATAAGAGTAAACTTAATATTTTGCAATATGCCTCTGTTTCATTAGAGATGACACAGCCTTATTGGAGGGACCTTTTGCATAGTTAAACTCTTTTTATCTTCCTTTCATTAGTATTTGCTGTTTTCTACTAATTTCATTTGAACTGTGAATTGAGAAAGAGTTAAAAGTTCTTAGAAACTGAAGAGAGGGAAAAAAGCTCCCTTGGACATCTGAATTGGACCTTACACTTGTAAAATATGAGTATTTATTTTATTATGAAGAAGAAATAGAATATTCTAAAAGAATACTTTCCAAAAGCAAATGTATCTGTTCTGATATTACTTGACAAAAGTTTCTTTCCTCTTTTCTCTGTATATTCAGCTCTGCAAACATCTTGAGACTGTTCATCATTTTAGTAACTATTTTAAACTTATTTTATATCTCAATCATTTCATTAAGAATTCAAAACTTGTTTTATATCTTGATCATTAGTTTATGCATTAGTAGAATATTGTTTACCAGTTTTAATGACCTTTTTTAGTATTGATTATTATCTTACAAGCAATAGCAATTTTCGTTCTGTTTTAAAAGACTGGTAGTCATGCTAAATGAACAACTTCTTTTTTTTTTTTTCTGGTAGAGACTTTAAGAAAATGAAATCAAGAGAACATCTGCAATAAGTTTAAGCAATATGCTTGCTTACTTACTAGGATCTTTAAAAAGATCTCCAAATCATGATGCTGTGTCTTTAAAGAGTAAAGTTCCAGTAAAAATCCATTAAGTACTTTCAAATATAGCAATCCTCCTGTCCAGCTGTGAAAAGTACTAGATGATACTTATTTGCCATTTGTGTTATTTACGGTCCATGACTTTTATGGTAACTGGTTCCTATTATTGGTTTCTATTAATGTAAAACATAAGTGAACATAAATGAGGCGTGAATCATTTCTTTTTATTAGCCCCACAGTCTTCACTCAGTGCTGGCAGTAACTCCAGCTGTGACTTGTTAGTGATAACCTATTTAAAGAAGAATATCTTAAAGAATAAAGACTGTGATTAGGATTCTTTGTCTGCTCATAGTTTCTAAAGGTTTTGCTAGTTCCTGGCAGGATCAGCAATGGTGAAAATAAAATAAAAAATAGTTAGTAACACTTCTAAATCCAGAGATGCTACTAAATTGTTCTGAGCATAATATGGCACTAATTGTACTCTAGGTGAGTTCACAATGGTTAGTACTGAAAGGAATGCATGGTGTACGTCACTTTGACAGTGCAGGAAAGGACTTTCTCCTGCTGTTTATCTCTGCTGCTAAATGGTAGATGCTGGTATGATCACTTATTAAGCAATGTAACCTGAGGAAAAAAACTCTCTCTCTCTTGACTATGTGTGTGTGTATGTATGTGTATATATTATAGATGTATACACACACGTTTATGAAATAAGTTGGAGCTTTTAGGATTATTATTGTTTTTGAGACTAGTGAGATGAATGTGGAATTAGACTTAAAAAATTGACTATACAGTTACATTATGGTGGTCATTAGTTTGAATTGTATTAGAAGAATTATGTTTTAAGTCATGTATTAAGTTCCTTTCCACATAGCTTTGTAGTAAAAATTAAAAATAGCATGTTCTTTAAGGTGAAACGTGCTTTATCCTATGAAAAGGAAAAGACTTTCTGCTTAAGCAGAATCTAGATAAAACTAAAACTTGTATATCAGATTTTATTTCACCAGTATTTTTTCCAAGAAAAAAAATAAGCTCTCCTAATCAGTTCTAATGTATTATTTTAAAATAAAAAAATATTTATTAGAAGCTAAATAAATGTAGGCTGCACATTTCTCATTCTCTCTGTGGGGCTTTAAAGCATGTTATCAACCTTTGTGTTATCTGTAACTCTCTATCAAAATGAACTGCTTTAATTATTTTGGAAGAAAAGTCTTGCTACACTTCCCAGGCACTCTATGCCCTCTTTCATCAGTGATGTGTCACGAATAAAAGAAGGAAATAAAAGAACTATAGCCCCACAATAAAACACTCACATTATCCTGTACCTTTCAGGGGCCTTTCCGTGATACCGCTGAAGTATTGCGGCAACGCTACAAGCCTTTGGAACCAACACTGCGAGTGGCAGCACCAATCAGTTCACCACTAGAGAAGGCCAGAGAGGAAATGAGAAGGGAGGAATGGAGAAAATGTATACATGACAATGAGTAAGTTCTTTGGTTTTTTTCTTATATTGTTATGAGAATGTTTTCTTTGTTCTGTTGCTTTCGGAAACCTTTCATGCCTGACAAAATGAAATGTCGAACCTGACAGCTTACTAGCAAATATTCTCTGTACGTACTTCTAAATCTTTGTCCTTAGATTATAAACTCTTCAGGGCAGAGACCTTATCTTGTAATTGTGTGACATGTGCCTTCCATCTCTATGAATCAATAGAAGATCTTGCTGTAATAGTACTACGGAATGCAACAGATGGGAAATAAGCAAACAAATGCAAATTCCTTTTTGCCGTACATACTTTGCCAAGGAACACATACTGTTTCAGTCCTCATTCAGGAATTTTCTGGACTATGGGAAGAGAAATGTTGTTGCATGCCGATGAAACTTGCTTTCTCTTCAAGTAGACTATCAAAACTCACTTGGAAGGAAACGGAGCATATGTTGCACATGTTAAACATGATTTTCAAATACTGTAATAACTTTTGAAGCAGTTTGGCTTTCTGAGCCATAGCATTTGTAATAGAACCAGGGAAACCAGCTTGTTTTCCATACAATCCCAAATACAGACATCATCTATCCAAAAAGATTAAAGGTTATTGCTAAATTAGTTCCAGCTCCTTTCTTCTTGTGATGGAACACTTTTGTCCAATCATAATAAAACCTATTAATTCACCTGTTCTGACTTTATAGTTAACTAGAAACAAATGATGTTTTGTCAGCTTTTCTGTTGAATTCCTGCTCCTAGCAATCCTTTGATATTTGAATACCAGAATTCTGGACAGAAAGGAATTCGTTTTTCTTGTGAGCAGCCTATGATCCACTGATTCACTAGGATGTGATACTTTGCTCTCAGCTTCACATTGCACATGTTAGCTTAAGGACAGGAACTTTAGTATGCTAGAATCAAATGTATTTGCACTTTTTAATTTTGAGTGTTAAATGTTTTCTCATATTTTCCCTAATTGAATATTTTAATAGTGATATTAAAAGGAGATTGAGCTTAAGAAAGAAATCTCTGTGTTCTGTTTTATTTTTTCTGTTTGCCAACAAAAATAATTGTTTTCGTTCCTTTTGTACCAAACACAATAGGAAAAGTGTACCTCAGTTTTCTGTTCTTTCCTGTGTTTGTTGTTATTCAGAATGAGAAAAAGCAGCTTAATTTTCAAATCTCAGTTTAGATTTGAACTAAGTTTTTTAAAACTTATTTTTATTTTTAACTTATCTTACTGAAATCCAGAAAACACTGAGTAATGATTTTCTCTCAACTAAGATGTTCTTTTCATTGAGAAGATTTTGATTATGCATTCCAAATGAGGAGGAATTAAGTCCTTCACTTATGGGAATGAATACATTGTCTCCAGTCTAAGATTTACATAATGACTTTGTGTGGTCATTATGTGGCCAGTTTCAAGTCTTATCTTGAAATATTTATTTTTCTCATTCTTTTTGCTAAGTGAATCATTAAGACTTTAGACTTGTACAGTTCAAATCTGGACATGCCAACTTTGACAGATATAAATCGATCGGCAGTCTTTATTTACCTTACGGGTAAAGAAGCATTTAGTGTCATCCTGAATGCACAGAAGCAGTAATTCTCAGCTTCATGCACACTAAATGTATAGTGGATTATACATTTTCAGGCTGTGATTGTTCCGTTTGTGCTTCAGATTCAACCAACCATGCAAGGGTCACATCTGTAACCTTGAAAAGGTGATGACAGAGCTGCAGGTCATCATCAGGACTAACACTCACTAGTAATGCCGCAGCTGCTGTGTGGTATGGTGGTCTCCAGGGAGGAGTCAACAAAGGGTTACTCAGATTCTACAGTAATCTTTTTCTCAGCAGTGTCTATTATGAATTGACAAATTTCTTGTCTCTTTCTATGTAATTGTGTACTTTGGGACTGTGTTTCTTCCTGGTAGTCCTTCCTATGCTTATCATTCTTCTATTTTAGAAAATGAGAGAAAGAGCAGAGGAAGTGTGTGGCATTTGTGGGGAAAGTTTGTGTTTGCATGTAAGGAGAAACACAGTCCTTGATCTGTATTTTTCAAGAATGAATATTAGTGTTTTATAGGTTTTATATCAGACAATACAGAATTCCCACCATGTTTTGTTTAAAAAAAAAACAAAAACAAAAAACAAGCTCTGAAATCAGCTTATACATTTGTCTCTAAGTGTTCCAAGCTCTGAGAAACTTCTTGCTTCTGATAAATGCAGAAATAATTGAGAAAGCTATGGGAGAGGTTCAGGTAGGCAGCAGCAGTGCAAATGCAAAATAAATGAGTAAATTTTGTGAATGCTTATAGCAACTGCTGGATTTTACAATTTTGTACTGAAAGAGCAACTGGGCAATCTAACCTAATAAGGACGATTCCTTTTTCTTGCGTAATTGAAGCTGTTACTGCCTTATTGTGCTATTTTTCATACAAATGAAGTGATTTCCCCCTCCACTTGGATAGGAATGACAATTGGACTCCTTTGGGATGACCACTTAATAAACTGGTGTCTAGTTTGAGACATCAACTGCCGGATCCAGCATATTTAGATCACTGAGCATGAAAAGTTCTTTACTCAGTCATATGCAGCAGTACACAGGCCTAATTTTCCAGAGAACAAAAACGTAAATTATTTTCATTAATTTTGCCAAAAGCTGTCTCACATAATATGCCTCATGATCCAAAGTGTACTATTAAATATCTTTATGAAGTCCACATACAGTAGAATGAATTGCAGTGTGGCGATAGAATAAGGATAAGCCAGTGATAACCAAGGCTGGGGCTTCCTGATTTATTGTTGGCTGCTGGTGTGACATCAGGCAAGTCACCTCGCTGCTGGCTGGCTGTGCTCAGCGCTGTACTAGAGGCAGCCACGTCAATCCTGAACACATGGATTCACTTGTGTGCAGCAGAGTGCAATGTTTGCACATCGTGGCTCGCACTTGTTTTCAGCAAGGTGCTTTCTTTTAAAACCAGCATAGGTGCTTCCGTGCTACAATGATATGCTCAAAAGATGTACTTGAAGGCGTCTGTTTCAAAATGTGCACAGCAATAAAGGTAATATAAGAAAGCAAGTTGCTCTTGTTTGATAAAATTTTAAGATTCAAAAAAAATCTTCTCATTTGTATATTTTTAAGATCTTTTACTGTCTTTCTGACATAGCTGGAGTGAAAATGGCCACTATGTTTTATGTCATGCAGATATAACACGTTTGAAAACTTTGTTCAAATTATGCTTAGTTTTTCACATGCTTTGCAACTTCAGCAATCTGCATATTTTCCGGACTGCTATTGTATTATGATAAACAGGGATTATCATATATTTTCAGATAATGTTTTCTTAACAATTCAACTTCTATTTGTAACTCTTCCATTTATTTTAATTACTAGCACAGTGTGCAACATTTATTAATCAGCAGAGTCTTTTTAAGTTAAACTACTAAATTAGCTAACCCCATTAACACAGAATACTCCAAACAAGCAGTAATAGGAGAGGTAGTTACTGTGCAAATCGTATTATACATGCGGGTGCTCTAGGGCACAGTTAAGCATGATTACCCTCTTTTGATCCAGTATTCCTCTGCTTCTTCCAGCTAATTTCCACTGGAAATTTACAAAGTAGCGCCTTCATTTTTCCATCTTAATTTTTCTAATGAAGTTCTAGTACTTTATAACACTGGGGATGCAGATTAATAAGTCTGTATAATTAAGAAGTTTTGGAATTTGCTACAGAAGAGATCTCTTTTTCTTCCTACAGGAACTAGACAGTCCTTTTCTTCGTCACTTCATCACGTATGGTATTGCAGACACGGGTTAAATAAAGAAAGAGACAAAAGACTCTTAGATTTTCTCCTGTTAGGATAAAAATGGCAGATAGTTTATTGAAAAATTATCCATATGTATGTAGCACATAACTACAGACAAGATTTGTAAGAATGCATCCAAAATAGGCTTGTCTTGCAAAAATACTGTGCTGATCTTAGATGCACTAAGTAAAATATGCTGCATAAAGAACTTTGATTTTTAATGCACACTCATTATGAACTACGTAATGGCAGCTCCACTGCCATTGTTTTGCTGTGGAAAACCATTGTTTTTTGCTTTGTACACCAAATGTAAAGATGAAGAGTGTTGGCTTCAGGTAGAAGCTGAATCTGAAAGCTTGAAATTCATTACATGTTTCATTTAAAAAAACAAACAAAAGAGGTGTAGGGGTGGGGAGGGTTTGTTTGGAGCTAATTGTTCATGGCCATTACAGTCAGAGGAAGCTTCTTTTCATTTGAGTTAGGTCAAGGCAACATGAGGCAGCTTCTCTGAGCAGCCTGTTCCAAGTTCTCAAGTTCTCCAAGTGAAGATTTTGTCCCTAATTTCTGATCCACACCTACCCTCTAGTTTAAAACTGCTACTTCTTGTCCTGTGACAGCATTCTTTGACAAATCCTCCCTCTTGTTTGCACTGCTGCGCAGAAAGCTTTCTCTCTTGGATTGCCATAGGCAGTAGAGTCCGTATCTGCTGCTGCTTCTCTCAACTTGGTCAGACTAACTGGACAGCCTTCAATATGTAAGAGCCCTCTTATCTTTCCTGTCAAAATAGAGACATTGGAAGAGGAGACAGAGTGGACAGAGGAAATAATAGGTGAAGAGATGCAGGAAGAAAGAGAATTAGGGAGCAAAATATATGGAAAAAAAGAATTAGAAAGATTAAATTAGTGGCAGCCTAGTGATACAGAATAGAATGAATGAAGAGACGGAAAATGCAAGTTTTATTAACAGATACTTAAGCTATCTTTTGAAATGTAAATATATCTCAGTAACTACTGTCAAGTCTAGGACTATCTACTCTTTGAAGGCTTCTATGTCTTCTATGTCTTTTTTCTTGCTAATTCAGTCCAACAGATTGTGGTCCTGGAAAATTTGTAACTGGCCTTTGGTACCACTGACAGTGCCAGCTGTGGTCCTGGTCCTCTCCCAGTTTTTGTTTATATAATACTGCTATTTGTAAAACCTGAGTAGTTTCTCCTTTTGGTTCCCCTTTTTTCACCCTGTCTTGACTGTATTTATTGGTACATCTCATTTAAGCTTTTGCAATGGACAAAATGAGATCATTTTTCCTTTTTTTATTTACTTCTTTGGAGAAAACTCACCTCTTGTTAAATCATGAAGTTTTAGAAAGACTCAGCTTATGCTGACTATGCCTTGTGGCATAATATGAAATCAACGTGAAATTGAATTGTTCTTTCATCCTGCTACTTCTGTTTCTGTCATTTTTACCCTTCAAGAACTTCTGAATTTGCACTGAAGTAACAAGAGCTGAAATCCAGATATGAGAATCCTACTCGAGTGAACTTTTTATGGTATAAACTACTGTGGTCTTAACTTGGGCAGGTCATAGTGTTATTATACCACTGTCTGGATTTAATTTTCTTCTCCTTCCATCGCTCTCTTCTATCACATTCAAAGCACAAATTTGGGGAATAGCTGTGTTAGGTGTATATGTAGAGCTGTAGATCAGAATGCCATTACTGAATTTTATGACAGAGCTATTGCTATTTTACTATTATTATTGGTTGCAGGGCTATAATGACTTCCATATGACTCATTAATTTGGTTATCTACTAAACACACATACAAAAATGTTTTAATGTTATTTTATTTACTTATTCACATAGAATGATTTTTGCTTGATTTAAGCAGGCACTGAATTTGCAAACATCTTTTCTTGTAGCTAGATCCTTGCTCCTGTCAGCATCAGCTCACATAGCTCTGACCTGAAATTTTTACAGTCAAACATTGCAACTTTGTTTCTACCACATTCAAAGATGAAACAGTGGTAATCTCCATTCAGGCTATTATTTATATTTATATATATTATCATATTTATATTCAGGCTGCTATTTATGAAAGAATGATATGTAAGTGACATTTAGACTCTAAACATTGCTTATTAATGAGCAAGAAGTGACTATATAGCAAAAAAAAATAAAATTACTGCTTCATGCCATCATATCCCATTATATTTTTAATGTTCTTTCATTTCAATTTTAGCATTCTTTTATTGTTCAGTGTTAAAAAATTCATAGTTGCTTTAAGTTTTGTCTCAACCACAGACATACGTTCTGGGCTGTGTGGCACTTACCCCAATCAATGATCTTAGAGAAGATATGCAGTAGAATGTGGAAGATTATATTTGTACTAAGTTGCATGTAGGGTATACAGTTAGTTGTGTACTCACAGTCCTGAAATGTTAAAATGTCTGTATAGATATTTGTTTGGAATCACGGCATACAGTTTGATCTGAAAAGAATGCCTCCTATATTTTGTGATATTCCAATGATGCGACCATCGTTTCCAATGCTTTGAAGCTGATATTCAGCTCTGCACATAGTTCCTATGTCATCTCCTGATTCGTGTGGATGAGCTGATCAAGGCGCTCTTCATTTCATGATGTGGCAGCTGTGCATGGCCATCTGGAACACAGCTTGTCTTTCATGTTACTGTTTCCACTGCTGAAGCGCACCACCCATCACCTCACTGAGCTCACATCCACTGTTTGGTCTCCATAAAAATCCAGCAAGCATTGATGAATGTCAATGGGTGCCATTTCTTCCATGTGGAAGAATTCAGTCATACCCCTTTGTTTGATATGCACTTGCAGGTCAGATGCCATTTTGTCGGATTGCTCCTCTGCTGCCATCTGTCACACGGAAACAGAATGTAATGGAATGTTGATGGGAAGGTTCAACTTCTACTGTCATACCATCAATATCTGTCTCTGACATTGTGGACCAAGATCATAGGAGACATTATTTTCAGAGCAACCCTAGTGGTGTACCCTGAGTACTGGTCTGACACATACAAAAAAAAAAAAAAAAAGAAAGAAAAAAAGTTCAAAGTGCAGTCAAGCCATCCAGATTGGAAATGTTATAGGGAAAGCTAGAATCATTGCTTTTCTTTACTTTATCTTCTACTCTTCTCCATTTTTTTTTTCCCATTTTGTGTATAAATTTTACAGATGCAGTATTCATGTTGAATTATGAATGTTATGGCTCAACTAAATTCTATGCATATATAGGCAAATCCCTAAACTGCTAGCCTTGTCTTCTCAGCTATCCAATCCCCTGAGAAAGCCAATTTTCTTTCATGTCTGAACAAAAGAAAAATGTACTATTAAAATGCAATTCAGAAGTGATAAAAACTGCAAGTGGAGCAGCCGGCGCACAGCACCTTCGATGTATTCTCTGGGACATTGGGGCCGCATTAATTTTTGTGTGCTTGTGATGTCCATCCCATGTGCAAATTAGCATTACAAGTACCATAATCTGTCTTATGTGAGAGTGTCCTTTCCCATGAGTATACACATGCTACTACAGATTTGTATAATTTAGAAGTCTGCTAACTCAGTGTTTTTCTCATGCTAACTTTACATGTGGTACTTGATAGAGTAAATTGCTATAACTAGTAAAATTGCAAAATAGTTTATTTTTTATGAAGTGGAATTTAAAACAACTACAACAAAAAAAAAAAAAAAAAAAACAAGCCCACCCAAACAGTTGCTGATGGATTATTTAGTGAAATGATTTTCTGAGTTTGTATCAGCCAAGAAACAGAAATAAAGTTTTTATTATCCCTTTCTTCATAAACAAACAGATAAATAAATAAATAGACTATCTAACTCTCTTAGGGACTCTAGATCTGAAATGCTTTCAATTACTGAAAAGGATTTAATTAACTACACATGTGGCAGTTAAAGCAATGTTTTAAGCTCCTGAAACAGGTATTTCTAACTTTATAATAATTCTTCTGCACTTGTGAAGGACACTCCTTGCTTTTTTTGCAATACCAGTAATGAAGAGCTTCCTTCATGAGATTTTCCTTTCTATGAAAATGTACCTGTTTGCTTTCTTTCTTGCAAACTAAAATAGAGAGGTGAAACTAAAATACATTTGTAGGATCTCTTTCAGATCTTTTAGAAATGAAGGGTCCTTCACACAGTTTACTGTGGGTCCAACCCTGAACACTTGTCCGTGGGATTAGGGATATCTGCAAACCTCTTATATGTCCAGGAGGGTAGCTGAAGTTTCACTCTATGGTGGCAGCATGCAAGAAGGGAGTTCACCCTTAGTATGATCAGAGTTGAAAGAATCAAGATCCAAGAGATCACTAATCAGGAAATACTGATCACTTCAGAATAAACCACACAATTTGCAAATTTAAAAGAAACCAGTGATTTACTTTGTGTTCTGCCAATATGTGAATATCAATAGTATTATATTTAGTTTTCATTCTGATAAACTAGACTACAGTCTGTTTTACTCTGTGCTGCCAAAGGATTCATTTTCTGTTTTGATATACAGAAGGAGTTCTTTCTGGTGCAATTTAGATTTGGTTTATACTTAAATTCAGCAAGACCTGGATAGGCTGGAGAGCTGGGCAGAAAAAAACCGGATGAGGTTTAACAAAAGCAAGTGTAGAGTCTTGCATCTGGGGAGGAATAATTCCATGCACCAGTACAGGTTGGGGGATGACCTGCTGGAGGGGAGCTCTGCGGAAAGGGACCTGGGTGTCCTGGTGGATGACAGGTTGGCCATGAGCCAGCAGTGTGCCCTTGTGGCCAAAAAGGCCAATGGCTTACTGGGGTGCATTAAAAAGAGCGTGGCCAGCAGGTCAAAGGAGGTGATCCTCCCCCTCTACTCTGCCCTGGTAAGACCTCATCTGGAGTACTGCATCCAGTTCTGGGCTCCCCAGTACAAAAAAGACAGGGATCTCTTGGAAAGAGTCCAGCGGAGGGCCACGAAGATGGTGAAGGGCCTGGAGCATCTCCCCTATGAGGAAAGGCTGAGTGAACTGGGTCTGTTCAGCCTTGAGAAAAGGAGACTGAGAGGGGACCTGATCCAGGTCTATAAATATCTAAGGTGTAGGGGGCAGAATGGCAAGGCCAGACTCTTTTCAGTGGTGAGTGGAGACAGGACAAGGGGAAATGGCCAGAAACTGGAGCATAGGAAGTTCCGCACAAACATGCGCAAGAACTTCTTTACAGTGAGGGTGACGGAGCACTGGAACAGGCTGCCCAGGGAGGTGGTGGAGTCTCCTTCTCTGGAGATGTTCAAGACCTGCCTGGATGCCTACCTGTGCTACCTGGTGTAGGGAACCTGCTTTGGCAGGGGGGTTGGACTCGATGACCTCAGGAGGTCCCTTCCAACCCCTACAATTCTGTGATTCTGTGATTCTGAAATTGCTGACATCTTGAAGTATGTCCATCCTGATGGAATGATCAGATTGAAGTTGTGTTGTGAGTCTTTTGGACTACTTGTAAGACAAATGCAAGGTTCTCTAGAAATGAGCCCTCAACTTGTGCATGGTTTGTGCCTTCCACTGGCTTGTGGCATGGACTGCATTGCCTGTATCAACAAGCAAATCACTGCAAATTGAACCTTGTTCATTTCCTCCTTGTCCACATCCATTAGTAGGACAGATATAGCCAAAGTAAGAATCTAGTAATACTAGTCATATGCTGTTGAAGCTCTTTAGCTCTTTGCTCCAATTTTGGTTTTAAAAAGTAGTTATAAGAAATACTTTAGTAATCTTTTTCACATTACTTGTGGAGGGGAGAGGGTGCTACATCAAGAAAGTATAGTGGGAAATATTAGGAATGCATGTCAATATCCTGATTTGCTGATATTTGATTTACATAAATCCTGGGGCATTCAGAGTACTATGTAGTAATTCTTAAATATTCTTAAATTTCAGATTTTTGCCATTTTCTTCATATCATAAAAATGAGAAGTATGACCTGTCAATTCATGCATCAGAAAAAATTGGCAAAGAAACTTACGGAATTAAGCATTTCCGAGAAGTACAGCCTAAAAAGTGGATAGCAGGCAAGGTAAGTCACTGCAAAAGTTAAAGAAAGGCTGATTTTTTTAGAAAGTTATTTTATGTGATAGGACCTAACCCTGAGATAATCAAATCCAATCTTATTATAATAAGCATGTTATAAAATCACACTGAGCTATTGTGATATCAAGCTTTCTCAACACTCTGGAAAGTTAAATTTGAGGAAATTCAAAACATCTCACATCAACTACATGAGGATTTAGGAGCATGCTTAAGTACATATCCAATTATATCAGTTTTGTAAAGTTTTGCTGTTTCTGTCTTTCCTCATTTAAGATATATTACATTTATTTACTCTTATATGTGAAGACAAACCTTCAGAAAATTACGGAAAGAAATAGACCAAAACTATTTTGTTGTATATATTCTTCAAAAAATAGTACAAGTGAATGAAAAATTGTTTTTAAGATGTTTTCATTAAACTGGCTTCTTAGTCAGAAACATATCATATATTTCCAGTTTTGTGCTGTAGGAAATAGTATCCTCAGAACTTTCAATGTTATGTAAACTATTTTCAGTGGTTGAAACCTAATACACTATGAGATTTCAAAAGTCCAAAAAGTTCCATCATTCACCAAGCACGATACAGAAAAAGGAAAACTGAGCAATTTTTTCTTAGCGTTTTTCAGATTCTTAGCAGCATTAGGAAACCAAAGGTTCAGAACTTCTGAATCTTCACAGTAAGTTTGTACAAAAACTAAGAAAGGATTTATTTTTTTTAATCGTGTCAACTTCTGCAAAACCGAGCACACTCTCTGAAACTGTATGAAAAAGGAATACAGTTATAATATTACAATAGTGTAGAATTAATGAAAAAGGATGTAAGTGAGCCAAAACAGTGTTCTAACATGAATTTGTAGTTGTGTTTGTATTACTATTTTTTCATAGATATCATAATCAAATTATAATATCCCAGTATGAGAAAGATATGGATTTGGCAGAGCAGTTCTAGTGTAAGGCCTCAAAGATGATAAAGGAAGTGGAACATCTTTTATACAACAGGAGTCTAAGAGAGCTGGAACTCTTCAGTTTGGAGATTATCAGGGGTGTCTCACTTATTTAAATACCTAGTGGGAAGGAACGAAGAAGATGGAACCAAATTCCTGTCTAGCGAGTCTGTGCTGAGGGTGGTCAAACTCTAGAAAACGTTGCCCATTGGAGGTTTTGAAATTTCCTTCATTTCATTGGAGATATTCAAAACCCTAAAGGACACAGTCCTGGGCCACCAGCTCTAGCAGGTATTGTTTGAGCAAGGGGACGGAATAGGTGATCTGAAGAGGTCACTTTCAACCTAAGTAGTTCTGAGAGTTTTTAAGATGTGATTACTTACTTCCTTGGAACTAACTTATCTTGTATATATATATAATAAGTTTCAATTAAATTTAGTTTAAGAAGTAATATTTTTAATCATATTCTTTCTCAAAGTGTTAAGTTTTTTAAAAAAGATCATGATAACATTTTGATACTTTACTGTACAGAAATAGCTAAACTGCATTGCAAATAAAAACATGAAAATCAACATTCAATAAAAAGATTAATTTATCTTTCAAAAGCAGTTAGTGGAGGATGGACTTGATTGGAGTCCAACTTCATGAGCATGATATATATATGTAGAACAGTATAAAGATTTGTTGGTCATACTTATCTTACAGTGTAAGGATTCTCCCTCTTCCAGTCCTTAGCAGTTCTTAGACCAGCAGTCTTAGTCAGTTCAGCAGACTGAAATGACAATATCAAAAAATGTGAAAGTTGCTATATTGTATATCCTATTATATATATATATATATATACATAATTTGTTTTATATAAATTACTGAACTTATCTGATATCACTAAACTGACTTTTGATCTTGGGTATGTTTCAACCTAAATCTCTGGAGACGTATAGCTGTATGCATTAACTCAACATGACAAACAGCCTTCCAACTCTAATTGTAAATCAAAATTAATCTTCATTTCATCTGCTTAATACAGCCATTTTGGGGGGTTTCCATGAGATGATATTTATGTTAATGCATTATTACAGCCTGAATAACTGATAACTGCCAGGATGTGTATTCCACTTTTTATAGTAGTATCCTAGATAAATCTTTCTTATCATTGCTGATGAGAAAAACTATGGTGTAATTTCTTCCAGGAAGGCAGTTCTATGGTTAGTGGGTCAATAACCCCTGTGATCTGCTGCAGTATTATTTGATACTAACTGCCTTTTTAAAAACTATATGTTAAAAAGCTTTTCTCTGTGTCCATGTGCATGTCCTGGTTGTATTTCCTTTAGATTTTCACGTATATATAAGCATTTTAATTCAAGTTACGGAATTAGTATGCAAATTATGTAATTACTTCAGAAGCAAAATGAGCAACAATGAAAAATAGTGCTTTGTAATACTTCATCTGGAATACTTCCATGTAGCTTTCAAAAAACTTACTATGTCAAGGGAAAACTAGTTCTGTTCTTCAATAAAAAACAAAAAAGCTAAGAAGTGTAAATAATAACGTACTTCTAGTGGGGGATGAGTATGTTCTTATCCAGTTGTATACTACTATAAAATAAAAATGCATGCATACTTTTTAAGTTGAAACAATATATGTCTAAATACCTTGGAACACTTTTGATTTATATGTGAGAAATACCAATATAGAAAAAAAAATACTACCAGTCACTGTGAGTTTAATCTACAGTGATAGGTCCCAAAATAGCTGGACAGTCAGGGGATCAAATACACTAACTATAATCTTTCAGTTGTCAAAACACTCACATATGTTCATATTTACTGAAGCAGAAATGATAGCTTACAGCTTTTAATTGGTATTGGAGTTAGGTTTGTGTATGCATTTTAGAAAACTGGCTTAAATGACAGCATTAAATGTTTTCTTATTTGGAAAATTCGGGACGTGATGTTTGAAGACATTCTTTGCTGAAATATTCTTTCCTCTCATGCCTTATTAGAGGTGAATTACAGTACAACTGCATCGTTGTTTCATTATTTGCAGAGGCATTTTGGCCCTAAACAGAATTTTATTATCTACAAAGCATAAAAATATCCAGTACTGCAAGGAATTAATTTAGAGAACCTAAGCATATTGCACAGAACATAAAGTTGACCTTTACCGTCTACAGCTTTTGGAATGGAGTGGGATGTGGAACACATCATAGATTTAATGTGGCACAACGCTGTCTGCAGAAACTTGGGTGGGACTGTGACTGCCTGCCCATTGCACCTCATGATTGAATCTGCTGTCACCAGCATCCTGATAATAATGAACATTCAGCTTAACGACCGTGATTATGATTATCATAATTGATGTGCAAGTGCTGTGTGTGGGGATCATTACAGCTGAACTGTACAGCACAGAAACATGCCTTAGTTATGGATAATTTTACTTTTATGCATTGATTGGGATAAAATATGCCTTTCAAGTTCAACAGGCCAGAGTAATATAATTTTAGGAAGACTTCTACATGTATGAATTGATGATTATGAGCTTCCTGCAAAAACAGTCATTCTGGCTGTTTGTTTTGAATTGTTTCCTTCCATTAATAATGGGAAATAATCAAATAATTAGATGTTGAGTGGAAATCACTCATAGAGTACTGCCAGCATTAATCAAATATCAAGCTGAAATATTTCTGATTGTGATGGCCTTGCCTTGCCTAGGCTAGGAAAAACAGCACTTGTATTACACCACAATTTTAGTTATGTTGGAGCAGTAGAAACTGGGCTGGAGTCAACATCACTTTCATTTTCATGCTGTATTGTGTAACCATTAGAGTAGACCATAGTTGTTGGTTATATAAATTGTATAGCTTCCACCTCTGTCACCAGAAGCAGAGCTAAATGAATTAAGCTAAAAGCTTAATTCAGGCAGTGTGGATAAAAGCACAACCAACAGTTTCAGTCAATTTTGCTGGATAGTGATTGCCATCAGCTAAGATTAGGTGAAGTTGCAGAAGTATTTCATTCAGCCATATAATGACGTGTAGATGCACTTCAAGCTCAAGTTTATAAAATAAATGTTGGAGCATTAGTATAATGCTAGGTTTTTCATTGATTTACAGTAGATGTAAATTCTTCCTCTTTGTTCAAGAACTGGCAGAAGTGACCTATTTGGGACAACAGAGGTAACAGACCACAGAAAAAAGTCTAACTTGCTTTCTACCATAAGGAAGAGATGGCCTGAAAATCTCAGACCCTTAGAAAGTGAGCAAGACTTTTCTACTCACGTGACTTTTCTGTGAAGTCAACCCATTTCCTTTCACATTCTTCTGAGGCCAGTGTGTCCTGTAGTTTCACAGAAAAACTGTCTTTGTAATACTGCAAAAGTACACTCTTTGTGTTTTTCCTTCCCTTCCTACACTGAAATTTATTTGAATTTCACTTTAATTCGACTTAATCTGGCAGCAATTATACTTGAGATAATGTATGTGTGGTTTTTTAAACTTTTCCTTAGACTGTAACAATTTTGAAAGGAATTTGCTTGTTATTTTTCTCTTTTTGATTAGAATAAAAAAGAAAGTACACAAGCATATTTTCTAACACAGAATAGTATCCTTGTGGAACAGGCTTATTAAATGTTTAAAAAATTTAAACACCATAGTTACTAGTATGCTTTGTAAGAGAAGTTTCTAATATACATGAGGTAGGATATTTCCCTAAGCAATGTAAAGCCAACATAATGTGGCAGCTAGAATTGGCTCTATTGTAGGGGAATTATTAGGTGATCTGTAAGAGTTTGCGTTTTACACTACTGATTTCTACATGAGCCATGTCAGGGATAAGGTTTGTTGGAAAACTGTGTTGCACTCTAGTAGTCTCTGGCCAATGACATGGCTCCTGTGTAATTATTACTGCTACTGTAACCTCATGGATCTATTCAGATGCTTAACCTGAACCCTTAGCTTGAGTTATCCTGGTGGATGAAAAACTTTACATGAGCCACCTGTGTGCTCTTGCAGCTAGGAAAGCAAACGGTATCCTGGGCTCTATT